TCAGAGACAGATGAGCTCCAGAAATCTTCACATGTTTGGCATATGTGCTCATATATATTATGCATATAATTTACATGTGTGAATAGATACAGTATACTTTTTGAGGGGGAGAGAGATCAGAGACTGACAAAACTGCTGCTAATTATCCTCTGAGAGGGAGGTAGGGAGCCCACCAAACAGGCCACTGTGATTAGGGTGTTCAGACCTGCGCCTGAGCTTGCAACCACACAAGACTCTCCAAGGAGGCCCACAATTTGTCCTGGTATTGAAAAGGTTCTGGTCACAGCTTTTCTGCCACCTAAATGAATACTGTAATCCTGGAAAAAGGATGCCATATAGAAGTGGAAAAGGCAGGAAAACAGTGAATGGCTGGGAGAGGAGAGGAGAAGCACAGAAGGAGGAAGGAACAGAAATATCATGGTCTCCTTTAGAGGGTTCTGTAGACCGTTGCCCTCTATAGTGAGATCCAACTCAGCTCTCTGGGTTGTGCTAAAGTTCTGTTTCCTTGGTTCTCGGTTCTCAGTTTGGGTAGCAAATGGATGAGACAATTTATTGCCTCTCAGCCCAGATGGAACTCAGTCATGTTTGTAACTGAGAAGTCTTTGCTGTTGCTTAAATACATAGTTATAGCAAAGGTAGACATCCTGAGATATTTTGAGCAATTATTCCCACAATCTCTTAATATTAGCATTCTGTCTGGGCTGATGGGAACTGAAGTCCAAAAATAAATAAATAAGGAAGAATAATATTTAAAAATATTCTTCTTTTTCCTCTGTTGTAACAGAGCAGATTATGTAAAATGTGTCTTGCATAACTGAGGAAAACACTTCTTGGCTGGCAATTATTACATGGTTAAAAAATTAACTCAGTCACAAGACTCATAAGAAAGTTTGCATTTGTAACCAAAAAAAAAACCCCATCTGAACTTTAATCAAGTCAAATAATTATTTATTAAAAAAAAATTATTTGGACTAACTCAGAGGCTAGATTAAAACTGATTGGTGATTGCGCAGGGCAAAGTAAGGCAGATGTGAAAGTCAGTGGAATCAAGAAAGGATGCCATTTACATTTTTTTCTCTTTCCATGGGAACTGATGCCCTTTGACCAAATTCACCACATGGACACTCTGAGCATGGACTTTGGTTTCCAAGAGCTTTATGTTAAAATTGAGAGATGTGAAATTAGATTGATTTGATAGATCTGTGTTTGGAAACCTGTTTGGAAACTGAAGGACAGTGAACAGCACAAATAACCAATTTGTAAGGGCTGGAAATGCCCATTTTTCAAATTAGCTATGATACTTCTTTGCAGTTAGCTCTCAAAACTTTAGAATTACCTTGTCTAAAGCTGATGATCCTATGGTTGGATAGAGATTAATCATTTCATATGGTTTTCCTGAAAAGTAGGTGATGTGGCTTGGATTTGAATAATACTTCTATACTAGTAAGTCTTGTTGCCAACTCTTGTTGCCAACTCAATTTCTATGTGCTGCATTTAAGTGGGTGGTTAAGCAGACTTCTTAGCTCAGACTGTGTGGTTTCCATTCCAGTATATGCCCAGCATTTCTGAAATATTGAGCTATGAGCTAACAATAATGTTCTTCTTTCCATGGGTCTTTTCATGCTTTGGTTCTTTCACTTGAATGACTCTGTTTTTTTATTCGCTTATCTGATCCCTCTCCATTAATGAAATGACTTTAATCCATCTGAGGTATATTTTTGACCTAAAATTCTTCTTGCAGTCTTAGATCGAGACAAAAAAGAAATCTACTGAGTACTCATACAGACCATAAATAATTTACCATACCAGTTATAATAAACCACACTTATGAAATGCTTTTTGCATGATTCAAGAACTTCATGTTTACAGTTATACTTTAACGTAATAGATTACTATCTTATCCCATAAAATAAAATAAATAAAATAAAATAAAATAAAGTAAAATAATACATATGAGGGTGTGCACTGGCATAGAAATAGACAAGGCAGGGGTGGAAGCCACCTTGGGCCTCCTAGGCAGAGTGGGCCTTGGCTGAACCTTTAGTCTTTAAAAAAATCATATTGGTTCTGCTGAGCTGCAGAACTGTAAACACCCATAGAGGAATGTCAGCATTTGCCTAGGCTGACAGAATGGGTAGGGACTGAGGGGCAAGGAAAGCAGTCTGTGGGTGGTAGAGAGCCTCAGTTTGTGCTGACTAGGGTGATTACTAGATGGCATCCAAGAGCCACAAAAATACTTAGTCTTTGTTGCTCTGTTGTAGATAGGTGTCATCTGGGTGCAAACTTTCAGCAGTACTGCCCCCATTTTTCCCCCAACAGCAGCTTGAGCACAGATGCCTCATGCACCAGAACAGAAATGCTCCCTTGAAGGCAGCTATTCACTCCAGCTGCTCGCTCTTTAGCTGATGACAAATGTTGTGATGGCAGACCCTCTTGGAGAAGTTTCTGTTGGGACATGGGTGCATGTGGGGGGACTGAGCATGAATCGCAGATTTGGTCAAGGCCATTTTAGGATGAAGACTGCTTCCCCTGTTCCATTGTATGAGCTAGCATATAATCCAATACCTCTGGACCATATCAGATTAGGAAGGCTTGGTAAAGGCAGTCATAAGATATATGTAGGACGTATGGGTTTTTGAGTATATATGCATAGGAGTCTGCTGGCGATTTTTGTCTGAAGTGTTTTAGCTAAAGCAGCTGCAGGTTGTACAGTTTGGTTCAGTATAGGCATTCCCATGGGAGAGTAGGAGAGGTAGATTTGCTCACTTTTTCTCCCTGTGCAGGATTTTTTTCTTATAAATTTCCAAAATGCCTTTCATTCTGCAGGAAAAAAGATACAAGAAGCTTTGTTATTTTGTCTAGTGAGCAATAAACAAACAAAAAAAGTTTAAGAGGTTTGATATATTTTCTTGATAAGAAAAATATATGTCCCTTTTGCCTCATCAGTTTCTAATTCAGCTTGCTCTTTCCATACCATCTCTACTTGAGATGGGGAACATATCAAGATTTGTTAGTACAGGAACATGGAGAACTTAAGATGAAGTCAAGAGAACAATTAACTCTAGAAGGATTTAGTTTTCAATGGTTTTCATATGCACAATTAAGATAAAGATTTAATATAGATAAAAGTATAATGGGGGTTGAACAACCTAAGATGGAATTTGAAAATGAAGGGTGTACAAATGATGAACATGTGACTGCAAAAATGTATAAACTTTTGTTGAGATTTGAAACAGAAGAGGAACAATTAAAGATTGCATGGTAAAATGGACTAAGAATTTTGGTTACAATATACAGGTAGATCAGTGGGAGAGAATGTGGATAAAAGGACTGAAATTCACATTGTGTTATAATTTGAGAGAGAACTTTTATAAAATGATGTGCCATTGGTATATGACACCAGAGAAATTATCTTAAGATGTATGAAGGTACTTCTAATCAGTGTTGGAAATATGAAAAACATGAAGGGACATTTTACATGGTGGACTTGTGAAAAAGCAAAAAAAGAAAGAAAGAAAGAAATACATACGATGATACAAAGAATTTTGAAGATTAATATTGAGATGAAACCAGAACACTTTTTATTGGGACTTACGGATAGTCAATTAGAAAAGACTTATGGAAGACTGATTTTATGTATGGTAATTGCAGCAAGATTATTACATGCACAAAGATGGGGAAATATTGAAATATCCACAATGGAGGAATGGATTGTGAAGATGGCAGAATTAACAGAAATGGCAAAACGACCTGTTCGGTCAGAGACAAACCTTTTATGGACTTTTTGCTGAAAATGGAAAAAAGTGAAATGCTGATTACTGGATTTGATGATTGAAAAAGGATTGAATAAGGGGCTGAAGGGACTATTGTAATGTTAAAGAGGGAAGAGGGATAATGAGTTTGTAACTGCTGTAAAGAACTGCTGTAAATGCAGAAGTCATTTCTTTAATTATATATTTTTTTCTTTCTTTTACTGTATTGTTCTCTGCACTTTTTCTTTTTTCTTTTCCTTCTTTTCCTCTCTTTTCTTTATATATTTCTGTATTTGTCTTTTATCTATATAAACACTCTTAATATTTTTTTTAAAAAGAGAGATGGGGAAAAACCCTCTTGGAAAGCAGTCAAATATAGTGAGCCTCTCAGTGCTGGAGCTTAAACTCACCCAATTCCAGGACATGTCTTTATAGCAGAGAACATATATCTAAACCACTTCCTTCTCATTTATGAAAAAGCTACATGTGATCCTCAATCTCATTCGTACTTTCTTTGAACTTTTCTCATCCAAAGTAAGTGTGTACTTCGGGTCTGCTTCCTCTCTTTGCTGTGTTGCAATTGCTCATATCAACAGGGGAAACCTTGATTATACTATTTGTCAGGTGAATTTTGGCTGTTGTGAGCATGGAGATAACTGGTAGTAATAGTTTCCCAAACTTCGTTGTTTCCTTTTATGCTGAATATTTTTATGATATTTCCCCTAACGTTTGATCCCTCTAAATGTGCCTAAGCATAAATCCAAGAATAAACCAACCCATTTTTGGGCAAATAGTGATGTAAACTTCAAATCCCCATCTTTTTTTTTTTAAAGCAACAATGAAAAATTGGAAACTGTAATGGTATGTGGGAGTGACCTTGGGAGACAGGAGGAAGAGCCACAGCCTAGACAATGGACTGATAAACAAAATTTGAGTCTGAAAGAGGAGGGATGGCGAAAACATCTCAGAAAACATCTAGTTTTCGGGAGAGTAAAAGTGTGTGTGGGGGTACTTTCAGACATGCAAGATTCTGTTAATATAACCTTACAATGAAGATAGAGCTAGTACTCCTGGCCGTGCTTTTTGTCTGGACTACCTCACAAGCCTAACAGAAACCTAATTTGTAACATTGATATTGTAATCAATGAGAATAAAATAAGGATTACAAAGTCTTTGCAATGTTCCAAGTGATTTAGAAATTATTTATAATTTCTTCCCCCCCCTTTTTCTCACTTGATATCCTTGCAGGAAGGAAAATGTCTCTACGTCATTTTGGTGATGGCTGTATATTGGTGCACCGAAGCTCTGCCATTATCGGTGACTGCTCTTCTCCCTATAATTCTGTTTCCTTTCCTTGGAGTTCTCCCAGCCAGCAAAGTTTGTCCCCAGTACTTTTTAGACACCAACTTCCTCTTTTTGAGCGGCTTGATCATGGCAGCTGCCATTGAAGAGTGGAATCTGCATCGCAGAATTGCATTAAGAATCCTTATGTTAGTAGGAGTCCAACCAGCCAGGTAAGTAACCACTGGAGCCACTAAAACTAGAGCTCAGTTTTGTGTAAAAATAAGAAAAGAAGGGATGGACTAAGGCTGCACTTCTTACAGTGATCTACCACCTAGCAGAGATATGTGGATCCCAGTTACATATGATTTGTTCGATTTATTTCCTATCTTTTCTCCACGAACAAAAGATGGCATATACCACTCTGCCTTTCTGTCTCTTTCCTGCCACCCCCAACCCCAGTGCTGTGGTATAGGTTGTGCAGAGAAAGAGAATGACTGAGCCACAGTCATGCAGTAACCTTGCCTGGCCAAGGAGGGACTTTAACCCAGGCCTTCCAAGTTCTAGTCTTTTTGACTTTTGGTAACTATGTCAAGTTTGGATTTAGTCAGGTTCTTTTGTATTTGTCAAGTCTGGATCATCAAACTGGAAATTCATTTAAAAAGACTTCTACAGCTTTTGGAAATACACTTCCATAGTATAGTATAGTATAGTATAGTATAGTATAGTATAGTATAGTATAGTATAGTATAGTATAGTATAGTATAAGTATATATTTTTATTTGGTTTGTATAGCCACCTGTCTTGCCCCAACAACTCCAGGTAGCTATCTACATATGAAAACACGATAAAAATAAACATCAAAATGACAGTGTATAAAACATTTAAGACACAGAGGTAAAAACTGATCTACAGTAAATCATCACCACCACCACCTGGGGCTCCAGCTAACCCCCTGATCCCCAGATTCAGGAATGCATCCATAACTTCAAAGCTTTCCAGAAAGCTGGCAGGGTCAGGGCCAATCTAATGTGGGGGGCTATGGTATTCCACAGGGCAGGGGCCATGGCAGAAAAACGCTGCCTTCTGGGTTCCACTAGGTGACATTCTTTCATTGCTTGGACCTGCAGGATGCCTCTCCTAATGGGGCAGGTAGAAACAACCATATATTTCCTAATATATATTTTAAAATTGGGTTGAATGGAATCTCACAGAATTGGATATTTTTTATTATACCTAACCTTTAGTTCATGTAATGCGTGAGCTAAACTCATTCATTCCTCATCCTTATTACCTAGAGAAGTGATTTATTGATTTAGACATGCTGCATATTCTATACATTCATTATACCCATCACACTATTTTCTTTTGGGATAAGCAGCATTATGCAAAGTGCAGAAAATGTATGTTTTGGTTTTATTGTTAAGATCTATAGAGCTCTGGTGATGCAGTGAGCATTGTGGCATTGCTTTCACCCTTTGCTTCTTTTTTTAAACATGCATCTTAAACTACATGGTTTTAGGGCCTTATTTTGTATTTTTATTTTCTGATGAACGTTGTTTTAACTCAAACTAAATTGTTAAGTGGAAAAATGTAGCAAGCCAATAAATAACCAGCCCAGCTATGTGGAAGCACCTATTTGTCTCTGGATGATCTCAAAAACTGAGCAATGTTGGACATAATCAGTGCTTGCAAGGGAGACCATCAAGAAAGTTCAGGTCTGCAGGTGAGGCTGGGAAGTTGAAAATGCCTTCTGGAAGCAGGTAGTGGCAAATCACTTTCATGCTGTTGGCACGAAAACTACATGGATGTGTCCACAAAGACACCAAGAGACAAGGATGACTTTCAGGAGTCTTGTGGAACCCTTGATATATTTCACTCAACATTTGAAGGTGTAGATAAAAGCTCTGGGTTAGGGAAAGTCAAATCTTTAGATAAGTGCAGTCATATGACTATGCAGTAATGGGACTCAGATTGTGGCTTTACTTCTTTGTGATTTCACTTAGAAGTAGCTATGATTGCAACCACTTAGACAGCCTTGGAGTTTCCTGGTGGAATGTACTTCTAATTAAACATCCCTAAAATTGCACCATTCATCCTGGAAGAAGGCTAAACTAATTTTTCAATTGATTTGGGGATAAGCCTCATTGAACTCCATGTGCAGACCTGAATAAATATGTAAACCTCCCTTTGAAATGATGGAACCTAAGTGATTTAGAAGTGTGAAAGCTGAATTATAATGAAGATAAATCTTTTTATTTTTTATGTATTTCCAATGTGGGGGAAGGGGAGTGATGAAAATCAGATATTGCTGATCTTAACACAGATGTCAAAGATTAAGTCACAGTGATAACTTTGTAGTCAGGGGCCACAATTGAGAGCAAAATCATCTCTGTGAAAATTTAACACAAGGCATGAATGAGAAATGACTCCAGAGGAAGACAATTTAAAACATGTCAGGAATACAAACATTTTCTCTGCAACATTTAGGTCTGCCCCTCTCTTTATATGGAATTAAAGTGCAGGGCATGCTTGACACTGGAATAAATTAAAATAGATGTATTGTTCCAGCTGCTACAAGGCTACAGTATTGCAGGGGTTGGCAATGTGTGATATTCAAAGATGCAGTTGGACTGCAGTTCCCATCCTCCTTCAGTACTGGCCACACTAGCTACAGCTCATGAGGACTGGCAAGTCAGATTCTATATATTGTCAAGCCATGCTTTATCTTATACAATCTGTTGCAGCAGACATGCAGGAAAAGAAGCATTTGGAGGTGAACAATTAGGCAGATTGTTTTCTTTTAACAAAACCTCCTCTACAGGGAGGTTTGCTGGCCCTTACAGATCTCTTGGTGATCTTTGGTATCATTGATTAAGGTATCCTTCTGGATTATCTTGGAGGGTTAGAGTGGAGAGCACAGTGGTTGCAGTGGTTGTCCTCTTTCCTCTGGGGCAGGTTCCTGGCAGTGTTGGTGGGGGAAGACATGTAGTGTTAAGCCTCTATTTTGCAGGTTTCCTCAGGACTCTATTCTTTTCCCATTCCTATTTTAGCATCTACATGGGGTGAGGTCATCCACTGGCATGGGGATAATCATTATCAATATGCTGATGATACTCAGTTCCATACAGCACTCTCTACCTGGCCAACCAAGTGATGACATCAAGGTTTTCTCCCCAAGTCCAGAGATTGTGGGGGACTGGATGGGGAAGAACAGGCTTTGGCTTAGCCCTAGCAAGACTGAGTAGCTGTGGGTCTTAGGGATCCCTAGATTTGGGGTTTTTCTATCATTTGTTCTGGATGGGATAGCGTTCCCACAAAGTGTACTGGTGCATAATTTGGGAGTCCTCCTGGATTCTCAGTTTTAGCTTGAGGAGCAGAAGGCACAAATCCATTTTTTTGCACCAATTTTAGCTGTTTCTGGATTGGAAAGTCATGGTCTCTCATGCCTTGGTCACTCTGCAACACACACTACATGGAGTTGTGCTAGAAGAACTCTCAGAAGCTGCAATTGGTCCAGAATGTGGTAGTGTGAGTAGGTATGGGTGCATTAAGTTACTGTTATGGAACACTATTCCTGTACAAACAGTACTGCTCCCAGTAGGCTTCCAGGTGCAACTGAAGGTGCTGGTTATCACATTTGAAGTCCTTCATAGTGTGGGTTTGGTTATAATCTCTCATTATTTTGACACAGAGTAACACAAGGCACCCACAGCTGCAAGATCTGACAGGATGGACTTGCTTAGAAAAATATTTCCAAACTGCTACTCATTGAAAATAATTACAAAATATAAAACCTATTTAAGCATATAAATAAAACACAATAAATGCTACAGATGTGGCTGACATCTTGTCAACAGGTCAAGATGTTTCTATTCTCCTAGGTTTCTTTTTGTCCTGCATTTTAATCCCTGTAAGTAAAGTCAGAGAGCCAATTTGTTGTTGTGGTTAAGGCACCAGACTAGAAAGCAGGAGACTGTGAGTTCTAGTCTTGCCTTAGGCACAAAGCCAGCTGAGTGACTCTGAGCCAGTTACTCTCTTTCAGCCCTAGAAAGGAGGCAAGCGGCAAACCACTTCTGAAAAACTTTGCCAAGAAAATTGCAGGGCCTGGTCCAGGCAGTCGCTTGGAGTCAGAAACTGACTAGAAGGCACCACCACCACCCACAAAGAAAGTAAAGTCAAAGCATTCTTGAGTCAACCTCAGCTCCTGGTGACTCACATGAACACGTTTGTAGTGCTGCCGATACAGAAGTGGTTTGTTACTGCCTTCTTCTAGGATATTGTTTCAATTTCTCAGTCTATTCAACAATCCTGGGGTTTTCTGGTGTCTTTTATCCAAATACAAATTGGGTCTGACCCAGCTCAGTTTTTTTGAGATCAGCCAGGATTGGCTAATGAGCCGTTTGCTGGGTCTTTAATCCTTGTGGCTAGTTTTAAATCCTGTTCCTGTTAGGCCCTTATAATTTGGGTTGTGCTGTAGGTCAGTTTTGTTTATCCACAGTCAGAACAGGGATGGTAACAGTTGTAGTATAGAGAGTAAAGAGGATGACCTTGATGGAGAGAAGGAAGATCTGTTACCAAGGCAACAAGCAGATAAACATTGTGGAAGCCCAGATGTGGCAGGAGGGATCTGAAAGTGCCTCAGACAGACACCCCCCTCCCCCAAATTCATATGAAGATAAAAAAGAGAGGAGGAGAAGTACATTCAGACCTGCAAGATTCTGTTACTATAGCCGATCTTAATAAAAGTAGTTTTTGGCATACCTGGCATCTGTTTCTTGATCTGGCCTACCTGGTAGAACTGATAGTAAGGCACTAAGTTGGTGTATGCTGGTAGGTGATATTGTACTGATTAATCTTTAGTGGTATCATCATGGGATTTTCTCAACTGAAATTAAAAAAAAAAGATTCTGTAAGACTGAGTTTTAGACTTCTCTCTTCTCTTCTCTTCTCTTCTCTTCTCTTCTCTTCTCTTCTCTTCTCTTCTCTTCTCTTCTCTTCTCTTCTCTTCAGGCTCATTTTAGGCATGATGCTAACAACTTCCTTCCTGTCTATGTGGCTGAGCAACACAGCCTCTACTGCTATGATGCTACCAATTGCAATGGCTGTTCTAAAAAGCCTTTTTGGAGATAAGGAAACATCTAAGGATCACAATAGGGTAAAAGAAGAAAATCAAGGTACGTCTGAATGACCCATTCCAGTGTTCCTAAAAATATGACTTCATTTTCTGACAAATACATATCTCTTGGTTGCCATGGTGCTGCAGCAAGGAATGAGAAGGACATTTGAACTGCAAATGTATACAGTATTCAAAACTGCATTTTCCTGTATTTGAACAACAGTAATTGAGTATGGGAAAACGTTTCTTGTGAAAGCAAGACTATGAACTGAAGAAAAGTCTGGTTTAAACCTCACGTGAGTGCTTAAGAAGCAGGTCGGTGCTGCTCAGATTGTTTGGATGGAATAGTATCTTTTGTACTTTTTGAAATAATATAATAACATTTATAGGCGTGAGAAGAGGAGTGGATGGAGCCTGCCAGATTTCAGAAATATGGGTATAAACATTTTCATGGTTTACAATTGGAGTTATTTCTAAAGAATTATTGGCAGAATAATAGTAATCATGGCAAGAATGATGATAAGAATAAAAATGATGATAAAATAATAATGTCCCATTTCCTATCCAAAAAAGGGTACTCAAGATGGCTAATTACTCAAAAATAATTAAAATAATACATAAAATAACAGTTATGGCTATTAAGAAACTATTTTAAAAATGTAAGTTAAAGAGTTTAATCTTCGTATACTGCTTAAAAGCAGAAGGAGTGGTGATCAGTCAAGGTTTTAGAGGTGGTGTGCTGCACAGTTTGGGAGAAACAACAGAGAATGTTAAAAAGGGGTAGGGCAAGGGGTTATGCCCAACGCTGATCATTTTGACACTGTTGACATCCCCTTCCTCCCCTCCCTGTGGATGCCCCTTTTCAAGTAGCCATGTCCTACTATATTTATGTATTCTCGGTCTTAAACATCTTAAATTGAGCCTGGATAATAATTGGCAATCAGCACAGATTTTTCAGGATGGGTATGATGGATTATGGTACCTTGTATATGGTAGCAACCTAGCTAGCTCACTGCACACTAACTACAAGCTTTTCGTTATTCTTCAAGGATAGCCTCACATAGAGCATGTTGCAATAATTCAGTTCTGGGCTGCCAAGACACAGATAACTCTGGCCAGATCCAGCCAGCTCAGGTTCACTCACATCTGAGAGAATTCTTCCTGGCACCACCACCATCGGTAGATCTGAAATAGCCAAGGAGCAAGAAATACTCCTTGGTTACAGACCTGCTCTTTCAGAGAACACAATCCTTTTCATAATAGTTTGAACAAACCCAAAAACTGGATTGTATCAACATGTGCCCAACCTGAGGCATACATGATTGTACTATGGAGTGGAAAAGCACATCCATAGTACAATATTGTTTTAATTTTTTCCCTGTTGTTCCGGTCATGAACTGAGGCACCATTTTATTGCTTAAATGAGAAAGAATGCCAGGATTGGTGAAAACAGTGACGTATAAAACATGACAGTGCAAAAGTCACAGGTTCACTGAGCAGTAAGATACATACTTTCTACAGCAGAGTGAGCAGGTTCATAGACTTTGTCCATCTGGTGCTTTCCTGTAATGTTCTGTTGGTCTTAATAAGAGGAAGTGGGTAAAAGCAGATGGCAGTTCCACATGGAAAAATTTATACAAGAAGATCTAGGAAAAGAGCACATGTTCTATTAAAATCAAGGCTCAACAGTGCATTTTAATTCTTAGTGACCCTAATGCTGGCCCTCTGCAGAAAATATAGTAAGATAATTAGGTTCTTATAAAGACAAAAACAAGCATTTGATGGAGGTATAATATTAATATGTAAAAGTATGTAAAAGTACATTTTTACAAGTACAAAATATGTAAAAGTACATTTTTCTAAAAAAATGGCAAAAAAATTACAGATGATTTTTGTTAATTACGAATCTTGAAAAATCCAAATAAACTAAGATACAGTGCCATCAGAGATAAAATCTCATGTTCCAACATCAAGATGATCTAGAGAGCTTGTCTGCTGTAGCAAACGTGCAACTGCAAGTAGATTTATTGTTCCTTTAAGAAAAAAATCCAAAACTAACAGTAATATAATTTTTGTTAGGAAAAGAATTAATAACTGAGTTTGCACCTTATGTCAGTCATTGTTACCATAACCACAGTTTACTGAATAAACTATATTGCCTAGATTCTCACCATGCACTAAGATATAAACCATGTTTACAAATCACAATCACTGGCTTCATGTAACACCTTAAGCAAAAAGCAGCCAAATCAAATTCCGAGCAGTGTGATGTGTGAACGTATGTGGTACCCAGCAAGCTTTTAAATTCACCTCAGAGCCTCAGAACAGTCAAAAAATAATATTTCATGCAGCATAGTTAAACTAGGGAATCTGCTACTACAAATGCCAGAGATTGACTAAAACGTATATAGTTTTAAGTGGTGATTAGATAAATTCACGGAGCATTAAGGTATGAAACTACAAATTCAGAATGGCCATATTTTGTTTCCAGTAAAAGCAATATAGTTTTGCTGCCAAAACTTTTTTTAGGGGGGGAGGCTGCAACAGCTCTAGTAAGTTTAGAAGAACACATTCCCTTGAGGCCAGGTCGATATATTTCAGGTCCCTATGTTTTTTTTTTAAATGTAATAATTGCAGTGAATATTGACATTTATCTCAATGTAGACAGAGATGAATTTTATGAATGTCCAGAAGCAAATATGCACTTTCTTTCTTTCTTTCTTTCTTTCTTTCTTTCTTTCTTTCTTTCTTTCTTTCTTTCTTTCTTTCTTTCTTTCTTTCTTTCTTTCTTTCTTTCTAAGACAGACATCAAAGAACAACTGACATCAGCTGACAATTATATTTAGGTGTCAATATTCATTGACTCACCTTGGATGCTTTTTAGACATTCACAACATTTTCTTGGTTTGTCAACATTCATATGTAAATATTGACATTTACAGAATTGCAGGTGAGAGACAACTACTGCCCCTACAAATGCTGTTCCAACCAGCAGATCTAGCTAGTGTGGCCAGTTATGAGAGAGAATGTAATGGGACAGAAACAGCACTGGTCTCACTTTTGGATGATCTCTGGTGAGAGCAGGATGGGGGTAGTGCATCCATCCTTGCTCTTCCTGACCTCTCGGCGGCTTTTGATACCATCAACCATGGTATCCTTTTGGGTCAGCTGCAGGAGTTGGGGCTGAGTGGCACAGTGTTGTGTTGGTTCAGCTCCTCTCTCCAAGGCTGAACCCAATCAGTGTTGATAGGGAGCGAGAGGTCCAAACCACGGCCCCTACTTTGTGGGGTGCCTCAGGGTTCGGCGCTTTCGCCGCACCTATTTAACATCTACATGAAACCACTGGGTGAGATCATCCGGCACCATGGGATGAGGTATCATCAGTATGCTGATGATATCCAATTATACATCTCCATCCCAAGTGACCTAAGTGATGCTGTGATTACTCTCTTGTGGTGCCTGGAGGCTGTAGGGGCCTGGATGGGGGCCAACAGGCGTCAACTGAACCCTGGTAAGACGGAGTGGCTGTGGATACGGGGAGCCTCAAGATCCAGGAGTTTATCATTTTTGGTTCTTGATGGGGTCACACTACCCCAGACAGACCCAATGTGTAATCTGGGGGTCCTCCTGGACTCACGACTCCTGTTCGAAGAGCAGGTGGTAGTCGTGGTTAGGAGGGCCTTTGCGCAACTTCATGTTGTGCGGCGGTTACGCCCCTTCCTTGATCAGGAGGCCCTCCGCACCGTCACTCATGCCCTGGTCACCTCCCGGTTGGATTACTGTAACACACTCTACATGGGGCTACCCTTGAAGAGTATCCAGAAGCTTCAGCTGGTGAGAATGTGGCGGCACAGACAGTTCTGAATGCCCCTAGGCACATATAACACCACTGTTATGCGAGCTGCATTGGTTTTCGGTCTGCTTCTGGGTCTAATTCAAGGTTTTGGTCATCACCTTTAAAGCCCTTTATGGCACAGGACCAGGTTATCTGAGGAGCCGTCTCACCCTGGTTATTTCAGCCCGCCCCACCTGGTCCAGCAGAAGGGGTATGTTGCAGACCCCACTGGTCAAGGAATTTCGACTGGTGGGATCTACAGTAGGTAGAGGGGCTTTTCTGCTGTGGTCCCCGCCCTATGGAACAATCTGCCTCCCAAGGTTCGGTGTGCCCCCACTCTCATGGCCTTCAGGAAAGGGGTGAAATCCTGGCTGTGCCAGAAGGCCTGGTGGCCGGATGGGGACTCGCACCAGTGGAGGTGGCTTATGGGGTGACTGACCTTGCCTCCCCCCGTCATCTTGAATGTTTTTGGTATTTATGTACAGGGTTTATTGTTTAGATCTGATTTTTAATGGATTATCTATTTAACTATTTTGGGGGTGATTTTTAACTGTTGATGGGGTTTCTGATTTTAATTGTGAGCCATCCAGAGTCACCCATTGGGGGGAGATGGGCAGCATACAAATTTAATAATAAATAAAAATAAATAAATAAAATAGTCTATCAGCATCTGGAAGGATGTATGTTTTGCCCAACCCTGATGTATACTCTGATTGGAAACTTATATTATTTATTCTGCACAGTTGCTGCAGGTCTGCTGAGCTGAGGCTTTTGCAGTTTGGCAAGAAATCAGAGTGACTTTTAGTATGGGAGAAATTAGCAGTCCCTCTTATTTGCTAATTCTTTCACTCTGTGCTATATCCACAATTTAGTAATATTTGTTCTGATTTATTATCCAGCTGCCTTTGAATCCTGTCTGCCGCGTCACATTTATTTATGAACAATGTTTCCTGTTTGTGTGGTTGTTCAACTTTTAGTTTGATGCCTATGGAGAGAGCAGATATATAAAGCAATGTTAACAATAACTTTTGTTAGACTTTTATTTAAATTGTACATGAAAATATTTGAATTCTGCCTATTAACCAGAGTTGTAAGACTGGGTCAGCTGTAACCTCAAATAGAGACTTGATTTCTGAATTAGCCAATCTCATGAAAATGTAGATAACGCATCTTCAAATTTCTGTAGACATTCTTTGACCAATCCCAGCAATCAGAGGCAAGCCCCGCAGCTATACATTTAGAATGATGGCATTTATGTCTTTTTCGAACTTGTAGGCTTTTCCTCTGTCACAAGTAGCTTCATAGGATTGAGATATTTAACTTCACTGCTTTTAAATAACAACACCATTTTCTGTAATGGTGGGAGTCACTGGGAGTCAAGGATATACAAATTTAATAAACAATAATGATAATATAAATATACTTCAAGAACCATTTTTCTGTCTCTTTAAATACTCTTTTGAAATGTTTATTTTTTAGCTTCAGTACATCAGAATAAACTTCACATGGTGCCAACTGAGATGCAGCTTCTAACAAATATTAATGAGTAAGTTGCTAATGAAAAGGAAGACAATATCTGAAGTATGAAACTGCTTACTTGGCAGTAAGCTCCCATGGCATTTCTTCCTGGTTTTTTATAGGAAAAAAATCTTCCAGATCTTGCAATAGTTTGTAAGAGTTGGAGCTGGTGAGTTGGGAATCTCTGACTTTCTTACCAGGGAAAGACATTTTGTAAACAAGGGACAGATGGCAGGAACCTTCCCAGTTGTGAAACAAGCACAGCTGTTGATGCAAAGAGATGATAGGAAGATGCCTAGAATTTAGACCTGGGGACTAATATATAGAGAGGGCAGGATTCCAAGGTGTTAGATGGAGAATATATGTGTGTTTTTCTAATTCTGTGCAATAAATCTACTGATCTAATCTTTTTATAACTGCTAAGGGTGTATTGGAAGCCAGTTTAATGTAGTGGTTAAGGCATCAGGGTAGAAACCAGGAGACTGTGAGTTCTAGTCTGGCCTTTGGCATAAGGCCAGCTGGATGACTTTGGGCCAGTCACTCACTCTCAGCTCTAGGAAGCAGACAATGGCAAGCCACTTCCAAAAAACCTTGCCAAGAAAACTGCAGGGATTAGTCCAGGCAGTCACCAGGAATCAGAAAATGGACTTGAAAGCACCAAAATAATAATAATTAAAAATTACCTTGGAGAAAGTGCAATTTCTATACTTGGTATAAAACCTTGACATATTCTGTATACCTCCAAGAGGAAGAGGTTACTTAGACTCTACCAGTTCTATGCAAACATGAAGCTATTCCCAGGTCTACCTAGTTAAATATTGGTGGTGTTCAAATGAAACTCTGAACTAAGAATTAGTTCCCTTCCTCATTAGGAGTACTTCCAGATACTATCCGTAGATTTCAGTTCCCAGAATTCTCAACAGCAGCCAGAATTCTGGGTGTTGTTCCATATAACTGGATGGCCCGTTTTGAGAAATCTGGAAAAGTGAATTTGGGGTTTGTGTATTCTTTCTTCTATTTTCCTCTGATAGGGTTGCAAGGAGAAAATTGCCTGCTTCCATTTTCAAGGAACTGCTGTTTATCATCATGTCTTCCTAATCAGGACTAACTGTGGTTAGTTTTAGCACTGGTTTAGCCTTACAAGTCAAAATCAAAATATGTTGTGATCCTGGCTTGTTTAAGCAGTGCCTGGGGAATCTTTTAGTTTCTAAAAGATGGATGCAATTTAGTGTCTCCCTGTACTCATGTTCCCATCATCCCACCAGTTGGTTGTGCTGCAAAAGAGATCTCTCCTTTCTCCGGTGCAACAAACTTCCCCATGAATTCAATCATTAGAAGTGCGAGGGGGGGGGGGCTGCTGTAACCCCTGTAACAATATCGTGCTACACTTGTTTCTGTCAATCAGCTGACAAAAGGGGACTGCCTATATTACGATTCCAAGTATCATTATAATGGTGGAATAGCATCATAGTCCTTCAGTCATTTATTTGCTTGATTGGAATAAAATGCTTCTGTATTGGGGAAGAAAGCATGTGATGGGAAGGTGAAGGCACTCTATGTGTATGCAATGTTTGTAACACTGAACTCACTAATGGCCACTATAGTGGCCCCCGGAGCTGAAAAGATTGTTACCTTGGTTAAATTGTAGTTCAGATCAACTACAATTGACTGTTTGGATGGAATGACAAGACTGTAATTAATTGAAAATGGAAGCAAAGCCTACTTTTTTGCTTGCCAGTGTAAGAGAATGGAAAGACAAACAGGTTCACACATGTATTGTTAAATGTGTTAAACAGTGGTTTTACACAATATCCAACTAGGTCATTGTTCAATAGGCTGTAATAAGGATCTTGGGCATCTCCAGATTGAGCTGTGAAAGATCCCTGCCTGAAAAATCTGAGGAGCCTCTGCAAATCATTGTTGATTCTGTTGGACAGATGGACCTAGTCTATGGTTCACCTATTCACTGATGGCTCACCTATGACTACACCTATTCCGTATGAGGCAGCTTCTTCTGTTCCTGCCTTCTAGCACACATTCCTAGCTCTCACAGTGGTCTTTTGGGTCCCTGTTTCTTTTAACAGTAAATGTTAGAGATTGAACCTTGAACCCTCTACAAGTTAGGTTTTCTGACACCAGGTTTATGGCTCTTCAGGTTAACTTCTCTCCTTTTGTCTTTAAAGGAACAAACACCCAGAATTTAAATATTTTTCATACTTACATAAAAGAGCAAAGACAAGGAAATTGTCATGCAGGAGAAAGAAAAGTTGTGCTTGCTGAATTCCCATCTGCTACATACCTTTAAAGCAGGGGTCGGCAACATGCATTTACAGAGAAAAAAAAAAGAAACCCTAGGGAAAAAGTCTAACTCTCCTTGCTCATGTAAAATAGCTTCAACCACTTTACATCATAATGCCTCATGCTTCCAAAAATATGGAATGTGTCCTGTGGCCAGCAATAGCTTTCCCATCTCTGTATTAATTGTAGAGTGGAACTATTTTTATTTTTCATCTATTTAAACATAGGCACAATGCTAAACAAAAAATATTAAAATGTTGGGTGTCACTGGTGCAATTCATTGCTGCTTAAAGCCTAATCGATCCTGAACCCACAGAGGTCCTGCCTGCCAGCAGTAGAATTAATTCTGTTATTGATCAATTGGCCCAAATGTCCCTCTCTGAATGCAACAGTAGACAGAGAAACAAAAAGGGATTTCAAATGCTGTATTTTTATTTGGAATGTTTTGAAGGAAAGACGTGACTGAAGAGAAGGAAGTCACAGTTGACATTTCCTTGGATGTAAGGAAGGAAGAAGAATACAAGACAAATATATGGAAAGGATTTCTGATTTCCATCCCTTACGCTGCTAGTATTGGTGGAACAGCAACACTGACTGGAACAGCACCAAATCTCATTCTTTCAGGACAGTTGAAGAGGTACAGTGTTTGGCAGAGTTGGGCAGCTGGGATTTGTAGAAAACTAAGAACATTGGCAGTGATAATAGGAAACGTTCGGATACTGGCCAGGTTCACACAATGCAGTTGACTATAATGTGACGGTTTGATATTGGCTTATTGTACTATGTGAATCCAGCCCTGTGTTTTGCGAGCACAATGGGTGAACCAACTAATTGTGGCCTATTTAAAAATGTTTATTAAGCAAAGCATAGGTTAGTGCAATATGTGAAGTCAGCCAACGTGTGTGTCAGGAATTACAGAGTTAGGATTCATGAGTAGGATTTTCCTAGAGAATGTGAAAAAAATTCAATCTTGGCATATCTTTTATTAATTGCATTTTATAAATTGGTTTTGGAAGGTTGTAAGTCATATTGTTTTGGTTGTATGTTTCATATTTTCAATTTATTGAAAGACATTTTCTTCACTTTGTATTAATTGGCCTTTTCCTTTCTCCAAGTTTTTTCCCAGGGTGTGATGTTGTGAATTTTGGCTCTTGGTTTGTGTTTGCCTTTCCCTTAATGCTACTTTTCCTTTTTCTTGGATGGCTCTGGATATCCTTCCTTTATGGATGCATTAGCTTAAGGTATTGTCACATCTGATTATATGGTATAAAATGTCTTTGTTTTCAACTGCAATCAAAGCAATTAACTTAACTGGGTTTCATCCAAAAGCTGGAATGCAGGACACCTTTAAGGTGAATGTATATTTAATCCATTTTCATTGATGTAATTTTCTGTAATAGCTTTCATTTAAAAACAAAAACAAAAAAGGCCTTTTTAAAACAATTTGGTTTGTTTCTTTTGTTCCTGAACATGCTGACTTTTAAAACTGGAAATTTCCATTACACCCAAAAGATACATAGCAAGATATTTCAAGTGCAAAACTGGGAGATGGAAGTTGTAGAGAAGTTTCTCCTCCAGCCTGGTGTTCTCCAGTTGCTAACCCCAGAACAGTTTATCTCAATTCTTCCTAAATGTGTTCCCCCATCATGATCAAAATTCTGTAACTGATCTTGACAGTTTTTTTGAGAGCTGCAGGGACTTTCACTAATTTACTGTAATGAGGATAAGATTCAAAGAATAGGATTTTAAAAAACAGTTGAATATTCAGTAAGTAGAAGAAATGTTCTGTTCTTGTAGTTATTGGATTTCTTTAAATGTACTGAATTTCTGTAAGTTCATCTATGACAGACATTTGCATGTTATGAAAGTAAAAAGCTTGTGGGTTTTTTCCCCTTCAGGCTTCATTGGTTTTGTAGAATTAGAGTTAAAGTATGTGTTTGGAAATTTGGACCAGGACAACGTTACATTTGACAAGGATTAAACTTCAGTGATTTCATTACACAATTCGTTAATTGGTAACTGTTTTATTGTAAACCTTTTGTAATCTGGGTACTTACAACATCCTCCCACCTCCACTGATGTCTTCATTTGCTTTCCAATTGAAGGCATTTCTGAGGAATTCAGAGACGTTTCAAAAAAGCATTTTGTAAACTTTAAGCATAAACATTATAATAGTAATCTGCCAATGGCACAGATTAAGACGTCTGAGCTAGTTCACAGCTGATTTTAACTATTTTTAACAGTTTTTAATCTGGTTCTCTTCGTGTTTTATTCTTTTACTGTTAACTGTTTTGACTGCCAAGATCTGATGATGATGATAATAATGATAATACAATATCTGTATTTTAAATAATGCTGTATTTAAAATAATCTGATTATAAAATAATGTAATTTGACATTTATATATTCTTTCCCCAAAGAAACTACATTTCCTTAATTTCTGAATAAAAATTATGTACAACAGGTACACATTTATAAAGAATTTATCTAAGATAAATAGAAATATATCTCACTATAGTGAAGAAGACTATGACTAGCTGAATTGTGTACCTGCTCTATAAACCTGTTCAGGTACTATTAATAGGCTCCTTTAAGGTCTCACTTTCCTTATTATATTTTATTTTTATTTTTAAAGATAAGTTGGCTTTTCATAATGAAAACTGTTCTCTGACAGATCTTTCTTCTGAACAGAATTTAAATAAGTTTACATTCAAACCTCAGCACCTCGCTGACCTTGTCTTTGCTCTAAATCTAAACCAGGTTAGGCCTCATTAGAACTTCAGGGGGAGATCTGTATGGAATACTAGGGCTATAGGCTAGGCTGGGAAGTGAAAAAAACACCATCACCACATACTTTGGTACTGTTACCAAGAAAACTGTATGGATATGTCTCAATATTCAGGACCTGAGCTTGACTCAGAGGCATCCTTACCTTTTAAATCTAAGTACTTGTCAAATTGCTCATTCATTCATTCATTCATTCATTCATTCATTCATTCATTCATTCATTCATTCATATATTCTTACTGTAAATATTTTTCTCCTACCCCATTGTAAGAAAAGAAATAGCTGCCAGTTTGCTTAAGGAATGGAACCATAGACAAGAATCCTTTTCTTCAGCATGCCCTTAGTTATACATTTGACAGCTCCCCAGTATAAACTATTTATTTGATAGAATTGATCAAGGCTTTTTAGCTTTAATAGAAATCCAGCAAGGTATTTAACACTGTGACATGGATCTGACTAGAAATGGAATGTACTTTTATGCATACCACTGATACCATTTTGCAGAGGTGGTGGAAAAAAAAGATGGGTCAAATCACATAGGAGCTAAGTCCTGCTCATTAGTCATTAGCCTGACTAATAAGCAAGAACACATTTGAATTTCAGCCTTTGTTCCTCAAAATTCCTCATATTTTCTTTTTTCCTAAGTGAGTACTTTACATAATTAATCTAGCTGGAAATTATGAGAAGTGCCTTTGAAATGGAGCAACTTTGTGCTGAAGTGAGAAATCTACCTTCAATACATAGAGATGATGCCCAGTTGTAGAAGATTGGAGAAACTGTTTTTGTCAATGCAGCTTTTATAGTTACAAAGGAATTCTTTTTACAACTGGGGAGGCTGATTTTTTTTCTTTTGCATATACACTTTTGTGTGCACCCAGTAGGAGAAAAGAAATAAATTCAGTTATTTTACTAACAAAAAAAAAAAGAGTTTCATACAGTGCTCCCTGAGTAGTTCTGGACAAGACTGCTGCTTACATTCCATTGCCATATTTATATGTGTTTTAAAGAACATTTTATTTGCCCACACCTTGTGGAAATTTTCAATAGTCTCCACCCATGTAATAAACATCATTTTAACTCTTCACAGTTTTATAATTGACATTTGCCAAAAATGCCAAGATGAACATCCTCAACAACTTCCTCATCACATTTACTGATGTCCAGTCAGAGGGGGCTAGATCTTGCTTCTTCTTCATGGTGGCACTTCCTTCAGAATTCTTTCTCAAAAACAGGACTTCTTAAGTATTAAAATGAACTGCAAAAACCTTTGAAAATGTCATTTTGGCAGCTGAAATAGTGATAATGTATTTTTTAAGATGTCCCAATTGTTTGCTTTTTTATCAACTTTTGTAGTACAGTACGGTTTATTATTTTCTAATTTTAAAAAAGTGCAAGCTATTTTTTTAGCGCATAGCATATCAGTATAAAAGCAACTGGTCATAAATCTTAAATAAAAGAATAGTGAGAAGTCTTCTGCTAACATCCTTTGAAGAAACATGCACACACACAAACACACACACACAATTATCAATGAATGATTATTATTATTTATTAAATTTATAGGGCTGCTCATCTCACTCCCATGTGACTTTTGGCAGCGTACATCAGTGTCGTGCTTTATTTAATGCTGTTTACAAGGGCAAGAAACCACTTTCTCCAGTTTTATAGATGTGCTATTTTTATGCTTTGCCCCTCTTTGCTAGTGAGGAATAGCATGCAGTAGAGATGAAGAGTAGAGAAGGATTCCAAACTCAAGCATGCTCCTTCAATGGTTCAGAAATTTACTAATCATACAGGGCATTTTTCTCCCAATTCCTTTCCTGCAGATGCAGGAGGCTCTAGCTTGTCTATAGCTTATACTTTTCACACAGGATAGTGAGGCATCAAAAATGCCCATCTCTCGTGGTAATCTTTCCCTCTTCTAAAAACTGCTTTATGTTTGCATTTTAAGCATATTTAAATTAGAGGTGAGTGATGCTTCCTCTCTGTATTGATTCTTACTGTAGTGTGACTTTCTGGAGTTATCTTCTTTAATGCTGAATATTCTCTTATGGCAAAATGGTAATTTTTAAAACATTAATGCATATGGCTTGAAAAGAAAAAGGCCATGTAAAGATTTCTGCAACATATACACTTCCTTTAAAACGCATGTTTTCCCATTTGGATACCCTTATTTTTCAGTCACACCTTACATATCCATTTGATTGATGTTTTTATAATATTTCTATCCTGGTTTTTATTATATGAAGCACATTTCATAATTTCTGGTACCCGATTCTAGAATCTTGGAAATGTGGCACAATTCTGGAAGCACCAAACTGAGGAAGCCTGCACTGCTGAATAGACCTGCTCTTGCATCTTAGAGCATTTTCAGGCAACCAGTTCATGTTACTATCCAAGCTTTTCTAAAGTAATATAAAAATCAGTGGGATTAATATTGAAATCTACCTTCGCTGCTTTTTTGCATTCATAATGCTCTGCTTCATCCCTTTTAAGGGGTAGGGAATCTTGGAGTACTTGCCGAGCAATCATTATTCTTGCTGTCTACCAAGTAGTGGTTTTCCTTACTCCTAGATTGATCATCTACTCCAGTGTTGTCCCAACCTTGGCCCCCCCTCCTTTTATGGGGCGACCTTACACCCTTTCCCTCCCCTCCCCCCGCACTCGGCGGGGGGAGGACGGCGTGGGAGCGAA